TAAAGACCTACTGGAAGGCCGAGGAACGCCAGTAGAGCGAGGAACGTCAACAGGCCGAAAAATACAAGCAAGCGCAAGCTCAGGGCGCTTGTGCACCAACGCTGTGGCTTGCCGTTTCTTGCTGCTTCGTCGTCGTTCGCATAGTTCCCTACATTATTATTATTAGGAACCGTCCGCATCGGTGGAACAGTGACTAGGGCGATCGGCTGCTGATCCCAAGGTCGCGGGTTCGATTGCCGCCGCGCATTCGATGGTGGCAAAAATGCTCGAGGCTCGGGTGCTGTGCGATGTCAGTGCTCATTAAACAACACCAGATGGTGTGAAATTCCGGAACACTTCACTACCGCGTTCTTCAAAATCATATCATGGTTTTGGGACGTAAAACCAGACATATAATTAAGAACGAAGAGCTGTATTGTAAATATGTCGTTCATTCGGTCTGATTTACTTTTTTATAGGCTGATTGAAGCCCCGTGAAATCCAAATTTACCGCTGAATATGGACAACAGTGGGCTATGTAAGTAGATTCTGAGGTATTTCGGAGACATGGGCACATTGGTGAAAAAATTATTGGAGCAAGCCTAAATATATTGCCAGTAGAAACAACTAAGTTTTCCTCAGTTTCTCTCAAAAAGAAAAGAAAACTTTGCATGTGCATACGTGCGCCGTTAGACCGATGTTATGCATAACGTGAAGCAATATCTGATATGCTTGCGACAGGCGCGCAGCCCTGAATTTTTTTTCGAGGGTGGGGGAGGGGGGACTTGATTTTGGGGAGGGCATTCTCTTGAAGGGCGATTTTTTTATCTGTACGCCTATGGTGAAAAAAAAAATGTCGGCGGGGGGGGGGGGGGGGGGCATGGACCCGTTGTGTCGCCCCCTGGCTTGCGGTAATATGTCAAAGCAATCATGCACAACTAATTAGCCCGACAGTCCATTATTTAAAGGTAGACGGTTCTCCATGCGTTCCATTACACGCACATGACGAGTGTGGCTGTCCAATTGAAGAAATTGAGGAAGCACAAGATCCTCATCTAGATCTTGCCCGTAGGACAACTCTAAACTGCATTAATGATGGTATTGGAAGTATTTAAACCTTGTGGCTTCAAATTCAGTGTCAACTCAATAGCTGAGGTTAAAGTGTATTTTGTTTAAGAAAGCCTTGTTCATATTAATTTGCCAGTTGGGACGCATTTATTTTAGCGACGAAATTCTGGGTATAATGTGAACCGGACAATGATCAGTAATGATTCTTTGTATAAAGGTATACTGAGCGTCTTTATTTTCGTGTAGTGACGTACGTATTTATTCCCGCTACTTATATATATAGGTATAATGTGAATCGAACAGTTAAAAGTAATTAATCTTCGTAAATTGTCCCCTATAGACAATTTATCACTTAAATGATGCAAGATGGGACAAACTGAGGGCTTTGTGGAAAAGTGGTTTCTAGAAATGTCTATGTTTTCTAACCAGATGCTAAGAACTACAGCCAGTTGGCCAGGAATATACTCAGTAGCTTCTTTATAACAACAGTATGGAAGAACAAAATGGCATCGTATGCTGACCGAACGACAGCAGGATACGACTATTCTGTACCAAAATAGCGAGGATGAGTGAGATTACCCCTTCCTCGGTATGCGGTGCAAGCCGGTGAAAACGCGATTACTTCGCCGACGGGCAGCCCCCTCACCCCCTGTTGCAGGCCAGACAGTCAACTTTTCCTTTCACGCGCGCTCTTTTGTTCGCGAAACAACTCGGCAGGCCGCACCAAAGGGAGAGATCGAGTGGCCATGCTACGAGCTTGCTCAGGGAGTGTAAAAAAAAAAAAAAAACAGCCTGTTTACTGGCCCTTCAAAATCAAGGTAAAACATTTTATAACTATTTCTTTGTGGTTACTTTGTATAGAGAGCTAAGAGTACATGCCAAGAAAATTAAAAACTTTTTAATGCATAAAAATCACACAAGAACTCCTTTGAAATAGTTAGCTGAGCTAGTCGGAATACTGGAAATGCATCGAATGCTACAAATATGTCACGTAACAGTGTGCTCTTTAAGGTGTCCCTGAAACGTTTTTTTTCTTTGTGTAAACATTTAGTAGACGAAACCATGTACACCATAAATTAAGTGATGCGCATTGTACTGTAGCTACGAGCAATTGGCTTTTTTTTTCACCATTTTTTTAGTGCTGCTTCTCAAAAAAAAATTTTGTACACTGGCGATCAGTGGCCAATGGCATAAGTGTGCACAGTGTGTGCGGGGGGGGGGGGGGGACAGCCTGCCTTCTTGCTAATAAATGCTGGTAGGGGGCAGACATTGTGACCCCACTTCTTTACATGACTACAGGGAACGGCCACACCTCCTTCTTCCTCTTCCACACGCTTGTGGCCACAGAACTAAGCCCTGTTTTCTGCAGCTGTCGCCACTAGGCATCACAACAATATGGGCCATGGGTCATTCACCCCGTCTTCGCCAGCACAGCGATGCTAGGAGCTATGTGCACAAACGAAATCTCTCCGACAATGACTACCAGTGAGTGTAATACAGCAATTGTGGCAGCGTGTTCAGGAGGCAATGTTAAAGGCTCTAATTTGAGGACACCAGCATTGGTCAGTTAACAAGAGCCTTGATGTTCACTGCACCAATGCACTGCAGCAAGCTCTCTTTGCTGGCAGTTTGGCACAAGCTTGAAGAGTCACTGATCACATTTGCAGCCCGCAATGCAACAATGGATATTCATGATGTTTCGAGCAGAGAAACCTTGAGATCAAAACACAGTCTTGCAGCTCATTTCAACACTGAGCATGTAATTCAGGCAGGCAATGCTCAGTGTACTTCAGAGGTTACCAGGTGTATTAAGCAAATTGAGATTGTTTACTCTCTTAATGTCCTCTAAATACAATAAATTATATGAATTAATCCAACTATTATGAACAAAAACTTGCTTTGCAATCCTGTTGAGAAGATTATTCATTGCTTTGATTTGAAGGTCCCTTCAAAAGCAGGTAAAGATTCATGAGAGAGTTTCTGGAAAACTTTGTTTATAAAAATTATTCTACAATTGACAATGTGCATTTTTAAAAATATATTTCACATTCTCATCAGGATTTAGTCTTACACATGCACACAAAAAAAGACAGCACATGGTCTGAATCCCCATGTTTTGTGCCTAATAAATAATCATTGTTGGGGCTTGACGTCCTAAAAACTACCATGTGATCATGGGAGAGGCCGTAGTGGAGGGCTCCAGAAATTTCGACCACCTGGTGTTCTCTAATGTGCACCTAAATCTAAGCACATGGTCCTCAAAATGGGGCCGCCATGGCCAGGATTCGATCCTGCGATCTGCAGGTGAGCAGCTGAGTGCCTTAGCCACTAGACTATCGCGGCGGGTCAAATGTTTTGTGTCTATTTACTAGTACACATGTAAGAAGGCTGTATTTTTGGATATTCATCATATGTGCGTCCAATTACTAGTACTAGAAACAGTCAAAATAATGTCGAATATGCTAATTTTTCTATGTTCTCCTGCCATCTGTAAGCTTTTTTGCATGCATAATACAGTTCCCTCTTGTATTAGAAGAGCAAAAGCTTATGCCAGCCTTTGTTTTCTCTTGCTACACATTAAAAAGGCTGATTTTCTCACACGAATGGCACAGGCAAATTTAAGGTTGTCTTTGTCATAAGCAGACGGTGACCACCTAAATTTGTTTCTACATGTGCATGATCACTTCCTGCTGTATACATGTGAAGTTAGCTCAATAAGTGCTTCAGTTGCAAGCAATAGTCTTGTTCTGTCCGTTTCATGGTTGTCTTGTCTTTCTGTTGTATTCCAGAATGTTTCAATAATGAGTGTCAACCCACTCGCCCTAATTTGCTCCGTTCCCAAAGCAAAGCTTTTTAAAAATGAAAGCCACATGAATAAGAAACTGAATATCTTGATAGTTTTATGCGAAGTGAAAACGTGCTTGACTATGCACTTGACTTTCTGCATATGTGCATTTTGTGCATATATTTGCAAGTAAAGCCTCAAATAAAGTTAGACAAAAGTAGTGCTACTCCTGTCTATCTTGTTCTGGTGAATGTCTTGTTTTTGTGCTAATTATTTTCCTGTTATCACATGAATGTGCTTGGTAGCCGCATGCTACATATCCACTGGTACCAACATTCCTTCCTGTAGTGTGTTTCCATAGATTGCATTGACCGATTTATGCATGTCTAGTTGAGCAGACAACGCTTATAGTCTCTACGTAGTGTATGCATTAAACAGTCGGTTCTGCAGATGCTTCAATGTTCATAATCTACCAGCGAGATCGAACCTAATGAACCTTTTACGTATCTGGCATTTGGCTAATAAAGGCTCCATTGTTGAGGCAGCTGCTTGCTTGTGAAATGCGTCAGAGGAATAAACCACTAGGTCTGGACATAGTCTATTTAAGCAGCTGACAGCACATGAATTACCGGATAACACTCGATTGGAGCTTTGCTTTCCTCTTGCATGAATTTGTATGAGTATGCACAGTGACTTGTAGGAAAAAATATGAGTGAAGGAGTAAACAAAAGCTAACGCTTAAAGTGGGATGTCCTCGAGGCTAGCCACACCAAATTTTTCTTGCTTGGATCTAAATGGGAAGCACTGGTGCGGTGATGACTATTGGATGCATATGCGTTGGCTGAATATAATATATGGGCATCATGTCTTCCATACTTAGACACAGCGGCGATGATAGTTCAAAAGCGAAACCACCATTGTAGCCGCGCTCACTTGGCAAAAATATAGAGAAAGTAACAAAATATCGGGACGGTGCAAGCAGACTGAATGACAGCTGTCACTTCAAAAGCCAGGGCTGAAAAAAAAAAAAGCGACCAAGCGTGTTTCGCTCCACGGCACAGGCCACACAGAGAAGCGACGACGACCGGTGCTGACAACACGCAATCAGCGCGTGCACGCAAACACAGCAAGCACACCCAACATCCAAGGATCGCGCAGATGTACTCACTGCGGCACATCTTCACGGGCATTGTTAGTAACTTTGCTGTTGCAAGGTGTCCTAGGCGTGCACAGGGATTTGGTTGCTACCGAGAACAAGCGCAGGAGTACAGACCAAGGCTGCCAAGAAATTGCTCGGCTCAAGGACCTCCTGTGCGAAGAGAACGCGAGAAGGATGCAGTGCACCACGGCCGCCGCTTGACCAACGTGTTGGAGCACCGTCACTACGAAAACGTGCGGACGAACACACACTAGTGCGCGCAGCAAGACTTCGACGCCGACAGCTGCTGCATCGGCACTCTCTAGAGGAGCGATTGTTACCGTGTCGCTTTGGTCGGGGCCGCCGTGACATTCGCCTGCGCCATATGGAAGAATGAAACGAGCCTCTGCTCACCTAACACAACTGTCGGGGCACCTGTTGCTCTTCGCCGATGCAAAAGTCTCGCCGCCCCACAACGTGCGGACGAAACACTCGGCGAAAAGGAAGCACCTGAACGCCCACACCAGCCGAAAGCGGCTGCTCGCTTGCTATTGAATATTCTGAATGGCCCCGGCTTGTCTTGCTTTGTTTGCGTTTCCCTCTAATGACGTCACTAAAAAATAGATTCGGCCAGCAGCGTACGTTTTGTCAGTTCAAATATATATTAAAAATTGCGTTGTATCAATTAAACATCTGCGTCCGAACGAAGTGAGCGTGAAAACTTTGGAAATAAAGACCTTGTTGCCTGGCAACACAAGCGGCGTTGCCATCGTAGCTGGCTTCACCGCTTCGCCACTTCGAAGGCGAGCTTGTCATAGATGTTCACTAAGCTTGTCTCGTGGCGGATGGTGCTGAATTGACTGCACGCCTAGATTTCGAAGCGTAGAGGAGGCTCGCCCGTACAGGCGCCTTGGATTCGAGCAGACATTGATTACGTGGGCCAACACGGCAAAACGGTAGAGCCCCTGTTCTAGGCCACTCTATCTGAAGGCCCAGCTGACGGTTTCTTCATCTTCGTCTTTGCACGGAGAGAGAGAGAAAACATAACTGATGTTATCGGACGGCAGGGACTTTAGGTAGGTGAACCGCAAGTCTAACCCTTGCGGCCACCTTTTCTGCTGAATGCAAACCAAGCTAGTTGCAGCTATTAATGCCTAGCAGCGACATGCAACAGTTGCGCTACTCAGAAAATGTTTTGCCCGCTTTGGTATCCCACACCAACGCCTCCGACCTCCAGTTTAGCGATGGTAAAGTTATTGCAATAAAGAAGCATATCCCAATGAAAAAGAAAACAGCCTGAACCCCTTAAGCACTTTGCAACTACTGACATCCAGCTGGTGACTCGTATAATCTATCTAAATCGTATAATCGTATCTAAAAGATTTGAAACGGATGGTTTGAGATGCCTTTGGAATGCTGACCTGTTGCTTCCGAACTATCCAGTTAGTCCAACTGACCATACCGTATGTTAGCAATGGGCACCAAATGGAATTCACTTGAACCAATCGGAATTTTGTACTTCAGTGGGATAGTAATTATTGAATTACCGATTCGGACAAATCATTAGGACTACTATGCGCACAAGTTACCATTGTTGATGCTGTGACGGAGTTGTTGCGATGTAACTAACAAAAGAACAGAATTAAGACCTCCCAACACCTGCCCGGTTTTACTTGAAGTAATTGTTCCCTCCCCTCCACCCTCTAATATGAGTGGCTGAATTCCCCCCCTTGGGATAGTTCCTATTGAACTCGACTTGGCAATTTGCAGTTCCAAATTGGTGCGCAATTTTTCCATTTAACCTCTCTATCGAAATGTTAGCTGGTGGAGTACAAGTGTTGGAACAATTTCAACAAGATAAATCTATATGGGAACAGAGCATGCTCTTCTGATCAGAATCTTTAAACATTGATTGATTGATATGTGGGGTTTAACGTCCCAAAACCACTATATGATTATGAGAGACGCCATAGTGGAGGGCTCCGGAAATTTAGACCACCTGGGGTTCTTTAACGTGCACCCAAATCTGAGCACACGGGCCTACAACATTTCCGCCTCCATCGGATATGCAGCCGCCGCAGCCGGGATTCGAACCCGCGCCCTGCGGGATCTTTAAACATTGAGTTCTGTTCGTATTACATAAGCACTTGAATTTGACATTTTTGTATGGGGCCAATCACTATTGAACATTCTGATTATAGCTTGCTATGAGACTAATTGGGTCTAAGACAGCTCATGTTAGGTTTCGGTATTAATGCCAGATTTAGTATATTTGTTCCATTTTTTACTGGTATATTTAGCCAAGATATATATTAGGGGTCTTCATAATCAAGCTAATAATGGAGAGTTTAATGAGATAGGGGCCCTCCATTTCGGATAGTTCTCATGAGAATTCAACCAGTTGGTCTAATTTCAACCTATATAATTAACTTCAACTGGATTTCACAGAAACTCATGAAGCTGTGAAATAAAGGAATAGCTTATGAAAATATATGTACAGTTACACTACGATTACTCAAATGACCTTTGGTGAGCAGCATTTATTAACCTCACATTATGGAGTATGCCATTAAATTACCTCTTGTGAGAACCCGACACAACTCAAATGGGCAAAAACTGCTGGCATGGGGAGAAATTACATTTAGTTGAATGAAAATGGCACTCGTGGAGTAATTCTTTGTTTTTCATTTGCCCACAAGCAATATCTAATATGCTAGTTCATACAATTTTGGTTTCTTATATATAGATGGTTAAGCAGTTCAAAGCTCATTAATGCATCTTAAATAAAATTAACATGACAGACCCTTGAAAGGTGCTGGTATTTGCAACAGGATGAAGCAAAACTTGAGATAGGGCTAGTTGATAATGCAACTTCAACAATCAGCACGGAAACAGACAAGGGACACAGACATGGACACAGTTGTGTGATAGGACATGCCCCATAAAGCAAGTGGCGGGCAAGCATAAGGGGAAATGCCAAAAAACCACTTTGACGAATGTACCTACAAAGTCCTGTGGAGTGTTTCCCTTTCATGTGGTCAAAATAGGATACAAGAGCACAATTTCAAGGTGCAAAAAAGAAATGACAGGTATCTTGCCCAGCACTGTTCTCAGTACTCAGGTGCTCAGCCCGTATCAGACCAAACCAGTGTCCTGGCCAAACAAGCTAATTATAAAATCAGAGAGATTTTTGAGGCCTCTCGATTATTGCCAAAGGTAACTGCGTTAGCAAGCCCTTGGTTGCCTTGACCCCAATAGAGCATTAGTTTATTACGTATCTCATAAAGTCAGATAAGTGTTCTCTGCTTAACCTATTGATGGTAGTTATGAGATTCTTTTGTGCTTGCTCGTGTGATGAAATGTGCAGAAGTGCATACATGTCCACTTTTTTAATAAATCCTCACTTGAAAGACAACGCTCGTTTCCATTCCCGTCTGTTTCTGTGCTGATTCGTTGAAGAGGGATAGATGAACCTGACTACTTAACCTGATTGGTCAAACTATTTTGATTACATTAGTTGGTTAAGCCCATTTAGGACACCTGAGAAACCCTAAGGTTTTCCCACTGGGTGAACTTGTTACACAGACTAGTCTAATCAGTCAAATAATTTGGGTCTTGATTGTATATTACCAACTGCTTATATATTGGTCAAGCCAATTGAAAACAATTGAGGCAACCAATTGGACTCGCTAGATTTTTCCAATGGGTGTCCCAAAAAAACTGTTTGACCAATCTTTTTTTTTTTTTTTTCAACTACGATGTGTTGCATCAGGGTGGCACCGCGTGAAATAAATGGGTTAATGAAGCAGGCTGTGCGAACTATAAAAGAGGACCCCATAAAGAAACTAAAAGTGGTTTTTGAGTGATAATTAAATCACCCGCATAAGTGCTCATCGGAATCAAGCTCGTTACAAGGGCTCTACTCAAGCCTCCTTGCTCACCCCCCCCCCCCCCCCCCAAAAAAAAAAAAAAGAGATCTACGCCCAGCATGACCAGAGAGCAGCTTTCGTCAGCCAATTCTCACATGCAGCCACTCTTATCACCAGCAAGGCATATGTGGTCCTATCAATTTCAGTGAAGCTAAAGATGGCTTCCAAGGATGTTGACACTTGTATTACTGTACATTTTACAGCCATATTTTATATCAAGACGAACAAATTATGAGCTCGAGGTAAGAGAGCACAGTTGCAGAACTAATCTTTTTATGAGCACTTTTTTGCTCAAAACAGTTTCAGAATGGAATTGACAGCTTGTTACCACAGAGTGTATATTAAATAACGAAATTTCTGCAGCCCCTCTTGGAAGTCTCGTTCCGTCTGATTTTTATACAAAGTCAATTTCTCGTTACATAGTCTTTCTTTGCTTTATATTTTTAGTCCATATAAGGAAGATTATTTTTATGTTAGTTACGTACATTGACATCCATATATGCCACTTTTGCTTCTTAACGCTCTTGACTGTATATTTTACAGTGAAAGCTGTTATGAGATCAGAACACGGGTCACACGTGACGCCGTAGTTGTCTGCCGCCGCCGCCACTGTCCATAACCAGTATCGAAAAAAGATATAAATAAAAAACACTAATGACCTAATGTGACTTGAATATGGGTCCGCCGCGTGCCAGCCCAGCATTCTACCACTGAGCCACGCCAGTGCTTGGAACTCGTTTCTAAACTTGCCTTAGGCAGGCATGATGTCAGCAAAGGAATAGTGTTATTACGAATTGTAAAGCGCTTTACAACATCAAAATAACTGCCAGGTGCCACACAATGCGAATAGCGTAACGAGTGGGTCGTCCAATGCTCCAACCCATTAGAAAACTTGTTCTTGATCACATATTACCTATGACACATGCCCACTTCAGGCATATGATTGATATGTGGGGTTTAACGTCCCAAAACCACTATATGATTATGAGAGACGCCGTAGTGGAGGGCTCCGGAAATTTTGACCACCTGGGGTTCTTTAACGTGCACCCAAATCTGAGCACACGGGCCTACAACATTGCCGCCTCCATCGGAAATGCAGCCGCCGCAGCCGGGATTCGAACCCGCGACTTGCGGGTCAGCAGCCGAGTACCTTAGCCACTAGACCACCGCGGCGGGGCCCACTTCAGGCATAATTCTTCATCATCAACAGCCACTGCATTAAAATTACACAAAAATCCTAGCAAGTGCATAGCGGATACTACGCTTCTCCAAGGAATGATGAAGGATAGCATAGTGAATGCTGGCCTACTACACAAAAAATTATTTATTTATGGTGTAGTGGTTAGCCAGCAGTGTGCTTGACGCATCCGAAAGTGTGTTTAGAAAAGGCTCTGAGAGGCCGCTTTTCTAGCTTTCACTGTGACTGCGGTGCACATTTCGCGCAGGCCTGGCGTTTTTTATTTGTTTTTGCATAAGTCTACAGATGTTTGTTGTAATGGATCGCGCATAATACTCTGTATAATCCCCTTACTGTTATGTCTGAATGGCGCAGCGGGTACAAGTTAAAAATGTAAATAAATATTAATGTGACAGCCCAGGAAATTGCAGCACCATCAATCTGCAAACTCCACACCAAAAGTAGGTAAAGCTTCATGTCAC